GATTCTATAATATGATAGTTACAGAGTCCAAGTATGTGTAAAAAAATCAGCGACAATTAAAATGCCTAACTTTAACCTCAGCACTTACGCAAAAAAAAACGACATTTCGCGCTGAAATTTAGTAACAAATTGTTTCATACCAAAACTGTCAGACCGATTTCGATCGGGTTTTGGGATTTCGTTTTGTAATCCTTTAAAGTACTTACATCTACATTCATAGTAGAATTGGACAATTTCTTATCTATCAGTCGAACGCTTCAAAATTACCTGGATTTTCATCACTTTCTCACGCTGTTTTGGCTATCTAGCAGCAAAAATATGAAATGCGCAGGTATCAAAACAATTCTGTCTTATAGTAAATTTCATAACAAACAATTTCATCAGTAGTAGCTTTTTCTGTAAACTGCATATTTAAGAAGTTATATTGGAAAATGTTGGGAAACACACTTGATTTTTGAGTATTTTTGCAGTTTTTAATTTTTTCTGCGAATAGCACAATTTTTTTTGTTGACGCAACCTTATATTTTCACTGTTTATATTATTTTCGACCGATTTTTACTAATATCTAAACTACGTCAAGCGACAGCCATATCTCGAAGGTATTGAGTAGTGCTGGCAAAAACCGGAAAAAAGTGAAACCGGTTAACCGGGTTCCGTAAAAACCGATTTCAGATAAAACCGGTTAGTCGAATAGTTGCTAAAACCGGTTATTCGAATAACCCGTTACTTGAATCGCCAAAACCGGATACCTGAAAATCGGTGCTTTACAAAGACAGACCCGGAGAAATTGTCTAAGGTCAATTACAATCGGACAAATCGATGTCTAAAAAAAAAAAGGAAGTAGATTATCAAATAATCGGTTATTTGAATAATCGGATATTTGAAGATTCGAATAACCGAATAACCGGTTTTCGGATATTTGAAGAATCGAATAACCGAATAACCGGTTTTCGGATTTCATAAAAATCCGAATTATCCGAAACCGGTTAACCGACTATCCAAAAAACCGGTTTCAGTTGCCAGCACTAGTTTTGAGCTTAATTCTCTTGGACTATTGATGGTACGTAGTATCCAAAGAATTATACAGTTTAAATAAGTTATAAGCAAATGAATGCTGAAACATGGCAGTCTTATGATGAGGCATAGTTAATGTTTGGTTCCGTAAATTTAGAGTGTGAACTGTGTTGCAACATGTTAACTTATTTTTTAAATACTCAGGAGGTGAAGAGTTTAGTATACGATACACAAGCGAAAGGAAATTGTATTTGAATGTGTTATTAATTTTCAACCAATTTAAGTTTTAAAAAGCAGTAGATATATGGTCATACTTTCTCAGGTTATTAATTAATTTACAGCAAGTGTTTTGAATTTTTTGTAATCTATTACTTGTTACTTTGTCTAAACATGGATAAAAGACTATATTACAGTAACATATTTTAGACAATACTAAACTCTCACACAGATATTTTTTCATCGTATACGTCAACAAATTTTTATTAGCATTTAGTAATTTTAATCTGATGTAACATATTTGTTAATTAATTTCGTTCATTCTTTTGCAACTATTTGTTTGATTAAAAAACCGTTAATTTTAAAAATTAATATCGTAGTTATAGTTTCTTAATTGATCCCAAGAAACGTATCGAAAAAAGAGCGAATTCCCGAGCGGCTTTTGCCTGACCCTGGGACAATTTGCGCGTTATTACAGCAAATAGCGTTGGATGTTGATGAAATTTATGAAAAAGACGGTCAATTGACCGTGAAATTGTTGTTGGAGATATTTGTTAATCAATTTAATTCCGCGCGCTCGACCGTTTCTACTCATATTCACGACCGTTTTTTACCTATTTCGCTGCATTTCATGGAAAACCGAAAATAAACGTTTTGTTGCTGTGGCCTATCTACTTTCAAATTCCTTTTTTGAAACTTCAACCGGACAAGTACACGAGTATCCAGACCTCAGCGAAAAAAATTGCAATAAAAAATTAAAATGGCGATTGTGCAAAAACTATTAGTTCAACAGAATCAGGGTTTTCAACACATAAAATACAAGTAAATAGCTACCTGTGTGCAAAGTTTCAGTTCTTAAAATTGAAAAGTGGCGCACTTGTGAATTTTTTAAAAAAACATCAAATTTTCTGGTTTTTCCGGATTTTCTCCAGTTCTAATTATCCGATCGGATCATTCGACATCTCATTCTCTTCGTAATTTTATTCTCTACGATTCGACAACATTAAGATTACTTTAGTAATTTCCATTTTATAAGCAAAAAACTAAAAAAAGTGCGAATTTTTGTTGAAAATTGTTAGTAACAAATTTAAGATTATGTTTCACGAGATAGAAAGTGTGCAGAATTCACCTACCAACTGTCCTTCACATAATCGCACAATCGGTTTCCAGGTAGTTTTTATGTCATGAGTTAATGCTTTATTGCTTGGCCTTATCGTAGATATAGGTTCTAATTGATCCAAACAAACGTATCAAAACAGAAAATTTTCAAAAAGTAGCCCTATAAAACTAACAAAGTAGAACCTGCTAAACAGCGTTTTAAACAAATTGTTCCAGTGTCAGGCAAAAGCCGCTCGGTAATTCGCTCTTTTTGCAATTAAATAGAGCTTATAGACCGATGGGAATAACTCATTTAGAGGGAAAAAAAAAAGAAAATTGTTACCTGAACTTTTATAAGTGGAAATGGTAAAGGGGCTTATAATAATCGAAAAAAAAAAAAATAAATGCGTGAGCAGGGGCGGCGGAGGGTTGATTTCGGGGGTTGAAACGTTATGAAAAATTGTATCATTGGGATTTCTGGCGAGTTGACGTTAAATAAAAAAGTATCCAATATAAAAGTTGTTGATCGTGCAAAAATCTACAACTTTTGTAGAGGTTACTTTTTAACATAACTTCAAAATTTCCGAGAAAAATGCGAAAAACAGGTTTTTTTCTGATTTTTCGTTTTTTATTTCTCATTTCCGCAAAAATAATTTAATTCTGATGAAACTTGGTGAAAGTATACCTTTCTGTGTCTTAAATAACCACAAATTTTTTTAGGTAAAAAAATCAAGAAGTTTCTGAGGTATTCATTTTTTTCGGCCTGAAACACTTTTTTTTCAAAGAAAAATTCTACTTAGAAAAATCATCGTACAGAGTTCTGCAGGTAATCATTTTTTTCGTTTTGACACATACTTTTTGGTGAAATTAAAAAATCTGCAATCACAGTTCAAAAACATGCTCAAAAATGCAAAAAAAAATGACTTGCAACAATGATTTTTTCAGTAATTGTTGATAATTTGTTTAAATTTAAAAAAACAAAAACTGATTACACCATTCAATTGTTACGGAAAAAAATATAAAAAAAACTGTCTCATTGTTTGACCTAAAACTTTATTTTTGTACAGTATAGCTATAAACATAAAGTCGAATAGTGAATAAATAAAATAAATAATTTTTTTCCGTAGGACTTATTTTTTTTTAATTTTGAAGAATTCATAGATATACAGGGTGTCCAATATAAGGATGGGATAGCATTAGGAACTAGGAAACGGTAAGAGATACGGGGTGGCTCAGATTAGAAAAAAGTTTATTTTATCCCTAACAATATGCTGTTCAGAAAGTTTTAAAATTCCGGGTAGTTCCGGAGATATCCGAAAAAATCCGAAATTTTGCAAAATTGTTTAATTTTTTTCAGAACTAAAAATGACAGATTTTGTCATAAAAATAGCAGCGACATATTTAATAAAATTAATTTGATGATGGCCCCTGGAAGACGAAACGTCGGATTGCAAATATGTTGACGCCATTGGATAGAGCGAAAAAAGTGACAATGTAAACATGCAATTTATTTTAAAATTCGTTTTCAAAGCAAAGCCAGAAAAAAAAAAACGTTTTTGCAAAATTTCGGGTTTCGGATTTCGCGTCAACAGTAGACTTTGCAGTTAATACTTTGTATTAACTTCAAAAATCTCAAATCATCCTGAGATAATTTGTCTATGTTTATATCAATACTGTACAAAAATAAAGTTTTGGGTCAAACAAGAGACACAGTTTTTTTTTATTTTTTTTCCGTAGAATTGAATGGTGTCATCAGTTTTTGAATGTTTTTTAATTTAAACAAATTATCAAAAATTACTGAAAAATTCATTGTGGCAAGTCGTTTTTTATTTTTTTTGCATTTTTGAGCATGTTTTTGAACTGTGATTGCAGATTTTTTTATTTCACTAAAAAGTATGTCAAAACGAAAAAAATGATTACGGCAGAACTCTGTACGATGATTTTCCTAAGTAGAATTTTTCTTTGAAAAAAAAGTGTTTCAGGCCGAAAAAATGAATATATCAGAAACTTCTTGATTTTATACCTAAAAAAAATGTGGTTATTTAAGACACAGAAAGTTATACTTTCACCAAGTTTCGTCAAAATTAAATTATTTTTGCGGAAATGAAAATTAAAAAACGAAAAATCAGAAAAAAAACTGTTTTTCACATTTTTCTCGGAAATTTTGAGGTTATGTTAAAAAGTGACCCATGCCTCTTTGTTCCCGTGATAACTTTTTGTTTCATAATGTTAATTGTAATTTAACTATAGGACGTATCGAACCGGGACTTTAGAGACAATTAAACACAATTTAGAGACATTTAAAGAAGAGAAACTTTATTTCCAAAACACTTTGATCATACAAACGTGTAATCACTGTAATCAAATGTTAAACTATTGCAACACTGGACAAATATCCTACTTTTGAACTTGGAACATGATATACTCGATTTCAATTTTTTTAAATTTTTAATTACGCCAAAACTTGAAAATCGCATAACATTTAAGATTTTTCATATTATTTTGACATGTAGATTTCATTCCTCGAGCTTGGTGCGATTTTCCCGACTCACCCTGTATAACAAATACAACTTTTCTGAATTATATTGTAAAGTTTCTTGTTTAGTGGGAATATACTTAATTATTATTTTGGATTCAAGGTAAGGAACAATTCCGAAAAAATATCCTTTATATATAAAAAAAACAATAATTTATTACATTTCACTTAAACAACATAAGACTCGATAAAATAAATTATATCATTACTAAATTATATTAAATCCTATGAATAATAATTATGTTAGGAATATTTACAAGGACAACACAACAGCTAGAATTAAAGAATAATACGATAAAGGAAGGACAACAACGACCATAATATCCGGAATAGCAGGAATCCTGCTACGGCCTTGGTAGTTTGGTGGGCCCAATAGAGCCTGTAAAAAAATTTACAGCGAATATATTCAAATGATCAAGAAAACCTGAACCGCGTTGTACCTGTTCCATTTCTTCTTTGCTTCCGGCAGAGAATCCATGGGATCCTGCATAAGGTACACCCTAACACCCCGCAAGTAAGTCTGGAAGAAAATATCCCAGTCCAGATCCTTCAAGTCGCAGAAGAATATCTTCTTGTCTTTCTCCGACATCTTCCCTATGAGTCTCTGAACGTTCCCGGATCTGAACACCCACTGCCTGGTTGAGAAGTAGGAGATTACTGTGGAGAACTTGTGGATTTTGGTGTACATCTTCGTCATTCTGGAAGAGACCAACAAACGGTTGACTTCCAAGTGTTTTTATTATGCTATTATACAGGGCGTATATAGTATAGAGTATAACATACAATAATAATAATAATTAAAGATAACAATAATAGTCCAACCAAATTACATTTGGAGAAAAAAAAATGTTACCTAGACTTTTATAAGTGGAAATGGTAAAAGGGCTTATAATAAACCTAAAAAAAAATAAATGCTTGAGCAGGGGCGGCGGAGGGTTGATTTGGGGGGTTGAAAAGTTATGAAAAATTGTATCATTGGGATTTATGGCGAAAGTTGACGTCAAAAAAAAGTATCCAATACAAAAGTTGTAGATCATGCAAAAATCTACAACTTTTGTAGAGGTCACTTTTTAACATAACCTCAAAATTTCCGAGAAAAATGCGAAAAACAGTTTTTTTTCAGATTATTTGTTTTTTATTTCTCATTTCCGCAAAAATAATTTAATTTTGACGAAACTTGATGAAAGTATACCTTTCTCTGTCTTAAATAACCTCAATTTTTTTTTGATAAAAAATCAAGTTTCTGAGATATTCATTTTTTTCGGACTGAAACACTTTTTTTTCAAAGAAAAATTCTACTTAAGAATATCCTCGTACAGAGTTCTGCCGGTAATCATTTTTTTCGTTTTAACATATACTTTTTGGTGAAATAAAAAAATCTGTAGTAATATTTCAAAAACATGCTCACAAATGCAAAAAAAAAATAAAAAATGACTTGCAACAATGAATTTTTCAGTTATTGTTGATAATTTGTTTAAATTAAAAAACATTCAAAACCTAATTACACCATTCAATTCTACAGAAAAAAATTAAAAAAACTGTGTCTCATTGTTTGACCCAAAACTTTATTTTTGTACAGTATTACTATAAACATCTAAGTCGAATTACAAATGCACAAATAATGATAAATTATCTCTGGATGATTTGAGATTTTTGCAGTTAATACAAAGTATTAACTGCAAAGTCTACTGTTGACGCGAAATCCGAAACCCGAAATTTTGCAAAATCGTTTTATTTTTTTCTGGCTTTATTTGAAAACGAATTTTAAATAAATTGTATATTTACATTGCCACTTTTTTCGCTCTATTCAATGGCGTTAACATTTTTGCAATCCGACGTTTCGTCTTCGAGGAGCCATCATCAGATTAATTTTTTTAAATATATCGCTGCTATTTCTATGACAAAATCGAGACATTTTTAATTCTGCATTAGAAGATATTACTATTGTATTCGCTTAAATAGGTTTTTAGCTATCATTAAAAATTTTGCCCGAGTACGGCTCTGAATGCTTTCAAAATACCCTATTGGAGGAGAAAGAGAGAGGAGAGAATAAAAGTCAATACAGCACAAAATATCCAACAATTTTTTTTAATCCATAATTTAAAAGTTGTACCTAATAAAAAAATAATACGAATTTATGAAATATTTTATTGTTTCTAATTAGTATTGCTAATAGTAGTAAAAAATCGTTGGATATTTTGTGCGGTATTGACTTTTATACTGTTATGACTTCATCCAATAGATATTTTGAAAGCGTTCAGAGCCGTACTTAGGAAAAATTTTAAATGATAGCTAAAACAAGCTAAAAACTTTTTAAGCGATTACAATAGTAATATCGTCTAATTCAGAATTAAAAATGACTTTAGATTTTGTCACGAAAATAGCAGCGACGTATTTAAAAAAATTTACCCGACGATGGCCCTTCGAAGACGAAACGTCGGATTGCAAAAATGTTGACGCCATTGTATAGAGCGAAAAAAGTGGCGTTGTAAATATGTAATTTATTTTAAAATTCGTTTTCAAATAAAGTCAGAAAAAATTAAATAATTTTGCAAAATTTCGGGTTTTTTCGGATATCTCCGGAACTACCCGGAATTTTAAAACTTTCTAAACAGCATATTGTTAGGTATAAAAAACACACACTTTTTTCTAATTTGAGCCACCCCGTATCTCTTACCGTTTCCTAGATCCTAATGCCTATCCCTTCCTTATCTTAGACATACTGTATATCTATGAATTCATCAAACTTTAAAAAAAATAAGTACACTAATCGATCCTACGGAAAAAGAAATATTATTTATTTTATTTATTCACTATTCGACTTATGTTTATAGCAATACCGTACAAAAATAGTTTTGGGTCAAACAATGAGACAGTTTTTTTTTTGTATTTTTTCCGTACAGTTGAATGGTGTAATCAGTTTTTGATTTTTTTTAAATTTAAATAAATTATTAACAATTACAGAAAAATTCATTGCTGCAAGTCATTTTTTACTTTTTTGCATTTTTGAGCATGTTTTTGAACTGTGATTACAAATTTTTTTATTGCAGAGAATGAGAGAAATTAGAAAATGCGAAAAAACCTGTTTTTCTCATTTCTCTCGGAAATTATGAGGTTATGTTAAAAAATAACTTCTACAAAAGTTGTAGATTTTTGCATGATCTACAACTTTTGTACTGAATACTTTTTTATCTGACGTCAACTTTCGCCAGAAATCCCAATGATACAATTTTTCATAACTTTTCAACCCCCCCCCAAATCAACCCTAAGCCGCCCCTGCTCACGCATTTATTTTTTTTTCGTTTATTATAAGCCCCTTTACCATTTCCACTTATAAAAGTCCAGGTAACAAATTTCTTTTTTTTTCTCCTCTAAACGAGTTATTTTGATCGGTCTATAAACGCAAATAATGTACCAAATTCGGTTGCTCTATGTTAAGGCATTGCTGAAATATTATTGTTTTTCAAAATTTAACACTCATCTCCAGAGACCAACATTTCTTCAAGTGTACATCCCAGAAAAAAAAATTTTCCATAACAAATTTTGTACTGGGTACAGCATCTTACCGTGGAGATTTTCCCATGCAAAGTAGGGCGCCATCTACAATAAGAGCGGGAATCACGTGCAAGAAGAAGATGGCGAACAGGTACGACAGGTACGATTTGTACAGCGAGAAGCTGTAGTACCATACGGCCCTGGCGCTGGGGTTGAGCATCCCGTATTTCCTCGAAGCCTCCATGAAGTCGTTCCAGTTGATGGGCTGGAAAATTGCAACAAGTTAATTTTCCGAAATTATTATAGCGCGATAACCGTTTATTCTTGGACCCCTCTGTAGGACACATTTGAATTTCTCATATGCAATTCACTACCATTGTACTAACTCGTATATAATCACGGTGCAAGAAAAGAAGACGAACAATTTGACACTACCAGCGTGATCAGTGGGCCCAGGTACGTACATTTGGATATTTTTAATTACATTTTAGATATTTTAACTGCAAACACGTAGGTACATAGTGCAATGATCTAGTTTTAGTTATTTTTTGCAAGTCCTTCAATTTTGAGCTATACTTAATAATTCACTTGATTTCCTCGTACATATTACTGTATTTGTAAGTATTTTTTCAACTGAGGAGCAGCTATGCAAAAGCCGATAAATCCGTTTTTTAACTTTTTTTAGTTAGGCACGGAAATCGCTTCTTAATAACGGCTTGGTTACATCTAGATTAGATTTTCACAATTTTTTTATTTCGTTTTGTATTAAAATTTTTGTACTTTGAACTGTATGTGTATCATTCAAATAAAAATGTATGGTATACTTTTCCATAAAATAAGTATAGATTAAGCAGAAGTCGGTATATCTGATTTAGCAAAAACCGATAAATCCATTTAAATTGAGCAGAAGTCTATATATCCACATGATAATTGAACAAAAGGCGATAAATCCAATTTAAAAAGTGGAATAAAATTTACATTTAATAAAACTGAACAGTAAGCAATATATATTTTAAAACCATGATTAAACTTATAAAACCTGTGTATAAAGTTTAAGATTATAGTGAATAATGTTGTAGTTACAACTTTTTCCTAGTTATCTCAAAACCACTTATTATGGATTTATCGGCTTTTGCATAGCTGCTCCTCAACTATTAAACTCAAAAAGAAACGAATTTTTAAGTAAGAACTATTGGCGCCATCTCACCTCAACCCCATGAACGTTCTATTTCGTGGTCAATAGTAAATGGCGCCAAAGGTCTTAGGATTCATACATTCTAAACTGTTTTTTAATATATATTTTGATTTTAGCTCTCCTCTCTTTACTTTATTTAAGATAATATTCCTAATGATCCTATCAACTGTCACTGAAAATTAATAATTTAGTTGTACAACCTCTAAATAACTGCAAATAAATACTATGGCGTAGATTTATTTGTTTTATTTTTTTCTTTCATTCACTTGATTTTCTCGTACCTATTATTGTATTTGTAAGTATTTTTCAACTGTTAAAACTCAAAAAGAAACGCATTTTTAAGAAGAACTATTGGCGCCATCTAACCTCAACCCCTTGAACTTTCTATTTCGTAAAGTCGTTAGTAGTTGGCGCCAAAGGTCTAAGGATTTTACAGTAGTTTTATACATCCTAAACTTTTTTTTAATATATATTTTGGTTTTAGCTCTCCTTTCTTTACTTTATTTTTAGATAATATTCCTAACAATCCTGTCAACTGTCACTGAAAATTTATAATTTTCTGGTACAACCCCTTAGTAACTGCAAATAAATACTGCTATGGCGTAGTTTTATTTATTTCATTTTTTACTTTCGTTCACATGACTTCCTTGTGCCTACTACTATATATGTAAACATTTTTCAATTATTAAATTCAAATTTGAAACACATTTTCAGGTAAGACTTGCCATCGCCATCTAACAGCAACAGCTTGAATGTCCTAGTTCGCAAACTTGTTAGTTGATGGCACTTAAGATCTGTGGCTTTCACGTTTCACGGTGACTTTACAGGATTTTGAATGCAAAGAAACACCACGTTACAGGCGTTCTCAGTGCATACAAATACATTCTAAATTTTTATCAGATATATTATTTATAGAACATATCGACATTTTTTTTTATTCATTCCTAAAATTTAATTTATTTAAGTTGAGAGCAATGAGACCCTTGACTTTTTTAAAATTTATCTCCTTGACACAAGAACCAATTATTCCAGGGGCAATCTGAGGCCAAACTGGAAGTTTACACACCTTTTTATTATGATTCATGTACCAAAAAGTAATTATTTAGCTGGGCAACCTTTTTATGCAAATAGGTACTGATGTAGTCTTAGTACCTTTTATTTTACCCGTTTACATTAATTTTAAGCCTTGCTCAACCTTTGTCTTGAAATCTTTGAACCAATTACTGTGTACCCAGGTATTTTTCAATTATTAAACCATAATTTTTGGGTAAGAACTATAGGCGCCATCTAGCGTCAACCTCTTCAACGTTCTATTTCGCTACGCCACTACTAGATGTCGTCTAAGCTCCGTTCTTTTTAAACAAAAAGAAACCTCAATATTACAAGAGCTTTCACCCCATTTGAATACAAGTTCTAAAACATCCCTTCCCCCCTGCAACCCTGCACTTACCTTCTCGTTGCTGCTTTCGTAGTGGTAGACCGGTGGGGAAAAGTCACACCGGTCCTTTTTCGATTTCTCGAATGTGGCGGACACCTCCCAAGCCGCCGCTATCAAGGAATTGACGCACATGTCCACGGGGACTATGTTGGCGTTGCAGTAGGGATCGCAGTGCAGAGCCCTTAGAAGTCCCACCCCGGCCCCCGCCGCCACGCCAGTAGCGCCGTACATGTTGTTGATCCACGACGGTAGGGGGTCTTTGTACGTAGACACCACTGAAAAAATATAAAAAAGATACAGATGAGGTAAGGGCAAGGTTAGGAGGAATCTGGTACCTATGGAGGGTCTCATGATGCCAACTGGTAAGCCGTAACCTTCTTGTCGCACTACGTCTTCTGCTACTTGTTTTGTGTAGGCGTAAGTGTTAGGGTAACTGTCCAAAATCCTGCAAAATATTTTCAAGTTTGTAACTTCACCGCTAGATGGCGCAAATTTGATTTTTTTCTGCGTATACCTGGGCGTTATGTCCTCCAGGACCTTATCCGGCAGCTTCTCCGTCATCAGGATCAGCTCCTTGTAGCCGAATGGAGCGGGGTAGATCCTCTCCTCCACCACGTGGTTGATGCAGTTGGAGAAGGCCGTGGAGACGTGCATCATGGACTTCAAGTTGGGCATCTGGCGGGCGAGCCTGAGGATGTCTTGGGGGGCGCGGATGTTGATCGCCACCGCCATCTTCAGCTTCTCGTCGAAACGTACCGTCGCTGCAACATGGAAAATCACGTTGACCTGGAATTAGACGCGCATTGGTAGAAAGAAAAGGGTTATTTTAGAGTCACCAGTCTTTCGTGCAGACGGCGCGCCGAACATTAAAAAATTGCAAGTAGAACTAATTTATATTTTAAAATAGATATTTTTGCTGCTTTCAGTCATAATGTCATTAATTTTAATCACGTATTCGGAAGACTTAATAAAGACAGAAAATCGGAAAAAAAATGTTTTACTCGACTTTTAAAAATGAAGGAAATCAACCCATAACTCCCGCTAAGAAGGCGGCCCTGCCAGATGCCCGGATGCTCGGGTAACGTAATGTCACGAACAAATCGTCAGCTGCAGCGAACAGCGTTGCCAAGTTCACATCATAATCTGTGGTTCACATTTAATTAATCCGCTTTAGTATACGGATACATATGTACGAAACCAATAAAATGCAAGTAAATAAAGGATCATGCTGCATTTTATTATAACTAATTTTAATAATTGTATTAACTTAGTGCAAAATGTTTTAACAAGCCTGACTTCTCGAAGTCAACTTTCGTTAAAAGAAAATAAATAAAGCAGAGGTTTGTAGGCACACTGTATTTTATCAAATAAAAAAAGTCGGCACACTAAATACCCGAATATACAAAATACACTACACACGGTTACAAAACCATTACCTAACAATTTAAAGCGTTTATTCAAATCTACCACCCTCCATATCTCCCGCATTTTTCCCGCAAAGGAGTTAACATAACACATTTTCAAAAAGTTCAAGCTTTAGAAGCAGCTGATTTCCCCAATCGTCTTGAATTTTGCAATTGGTTCCTAAGTGCAGCAGAACTTTATTAACAAAGTGCTCTGGACGGATGAATGCTGTTTTACTCGTGCTGGCATTTTAAACAGGTAAAAAACATAAGTATTGCTTTCTCAAAAACAATAAGTGCCTACCTAGGTTACACCAAAGTTTAGATTTACACTAAAGTTTACATTTATTATGTAAACTTTGGTTATACGCAACTGCATATTGAATAATAAACTGAAATACTAAAACTGTGTATTATTTAACATAATAAATTATAAAACGTGAAAACGTTAATAATATTAAAAATGATAAATTGTAATAACCGTACATTCGAAAACAATCATCCCTATTCATTGATGACACGATTTTCCTTTGATAAAAGACCGACAACTTTTTGCTCTACTTTGCATGGAATACGATCCTACTAAAGTGCACACGTGCAAATTAGAAGGTTATTGACCTCGACACAGGTTAGCCTAGGTCGGAAACACGTACCGAGTTGTTTATTTGTCTCCGTCCGATTGTATTTTTATCTTCTATTACTTACAGTCAATATTTAAATACTACATACATTTCACCCTCTCTTTATAATTTATCTAGTGAGTGTTGGTTTTTTATGTCATTATTTCTGTAATGAAATTGAAATGGTTATGAAATGAAATTTAAATTATTTGAACTCTTGGGGTTTTGTAATTTCAATATTAAATTTTATTTAAAGTGAAACAGAGCTAATTTCTTTGCAGCCATAATAGTCACATTTGGTCAGATGAAAACCCGCACACTACTCGTCGGTTTAGCTTTCAGAGGAGGTTGGGTGTCAATGTATGGACAGGAGTATATGGCGATCGTTTAATTGGGCCGCATTTTCTACCTGTACATCTGAATGGGCCGCGTTACTTTCAATTTTTAGTAGAAGGCTTACAGCAAATTAAAAAATTATCACTATGATGTTAATAAAAAATGATTTTTGGCAAGTCATGCTCAGACCTCCTCGAGGTTCTTGCTGGGTAACAATAACAATTTAATATGTTGATTGCATAATTATAAAAAAATAATTTATAGCATTTTAAATTATTATTGGCTGACGTGAGCAAACCGTTTATTTATTGTCTTTATATGTGCGAAAATATATAAATATGGCAACATTGCATCTAGGTCGCTTTGTTCATATCGTAGTCGGCTGACGTCAGCCGGTCAGTAACAGCCTGAAAAGGGGGTTAAATAATGATTTGAAAAAATTTTTTTTCAGCTTAAATATGCATTTCATTTTCTTTAATCACGCCATCGTATTATACTCATTTTTCTCTATCTGCTCTTAAAATTAATGACATTATGACTGTATAATAAAAAAAAATAAAAACATACAGGGTGTCCCAAAAGTAACGCAGTATTTGAATTGTGCGCCATTTTCATTTCGATGGGTTGGCAGCATTGTGCAGGGTGACGTGTTGTAGTAAACACATTCCGGTTAAACAAAATCCCAACAAAAGTTCGGCTATCCTTTTTACCAAACGAAAAATCCCACAAAACCTCGACAGACTGACACTATCCCAGGAACCCATCTCCTGGAATCGACAAACACGATACCTGGGCGTGACGATGGACCAGCGTCTCACGTGGAAACCGCACATCGTGGAGACGGTGGCGCGAGCGAAGACCACCAGGGCTAGGCTCTATCCCTTACTCAAAGGTGGAAACACCCTCAGTTTAAGGAATAAGCGAACGCTTATCAAGGTGGTACTTCAACCGCAGCTAACCTACGCCTCCACGGCGTGGGGTCACGCGGCAAAAAGCCACTTAAAGTCATTACAGGCTGTGGAAAACATAGCCCTCCGCACGGCCACCGACGCGCCCTGGTACGTAAGAAACACTGACATATTACGAGACTTACAATACACAAACGCTACACAGACAATAAGACAAAACGCGGAGAAACGATTTGACGTAGCCGCTAGACATGACAATCCCCTCCTCAGGCAAGCCGTTGACTACGTACCCGACGTGACCGACAAACACAAAAGACCTAGACACCAACTTTTTGACCCTGGGTGACCACCCCAATGACCCCCCCCCTGCCCGCTAACCTTTTCTGTTTCAGAGACAGCCAGGATCAAGAAACGAAGACAACGACACACACACACACACACACATACACACCCCCCATACCCTCCTTACCCCTCCCCTCCCGCGCTAGCCTAAGGGCCACCTTAGCAAAGCGCATCCCAGGCTGCATAGCCGCACTACCCTACCCAACCATACCACACATAAACATGACACTACCCCCGGGGTTTACACAGACGAGCCGGCGAAGCAAGAAGAGCGCCAGAAGAAAGGGCCCTAGCCGGCGGGGCCCAGCCAGGACAAAAGGAGGTCCCACAAAGCGCCTACACCGGCCGCATTTGCGGTCGGGGTAGACGACGGATGGGGCCCACCTACGAAGGCTGTCCAGGCCTACACGAGATGAGGCAGGATAAAGAGGGATAATCCCCCTCGATCCCAAATCATTGAGGCCAATTTCTAGCCATGGAATAATGGCGCGGTTAGACAAAATGGAGCTCTATACGACCGGAAATGTCCCATCACATTAGGATTTTAACCTAACCTCAAAAAATAGCTCGAGATCAGTGGAAATCCCAATTTTTTGTTAAAATAGTTATGATTTTGAAATTAAGAGATAAAAGTGAAGGAATAAAAAGCTTTTATTTTGACCCAATTAACACGTCTGTGTACTTTAATTTAAAAATATTAACTATTTTAACCAAAAATCGAGATTTCTACCGAACTTTTGAGCCATTTTTTGAGGTTAGGGAAATATCCTGACATGATGGAACCAGTGACTATCTATTTATAGTCACTGATGGAACGTTTCTGGTTATATAGAGCTACATTTTGTCTAACCGCAACGTGCCTACTGCGACATGTGATCCTACACTATGCTGCCAACTCTGCGGAATGAAAATGCCGCGCAATTCAAATCCTGTGTTACTTTTACAAAATCCTTTATATGAAAATCAATGTTATGTGTCACTTACTCAAATTTATGGGTTATGTTCGAAACATTACAAGAAAAAGTAGTTCGAGCAATTTTCAATAGGTGACGCTGTGCATCATTACCAAACAATATCGCCAATCGACTGAAATTCTATAAAAATAGCCACTGCGAGGCATGCGAGGGTTCAACTCTAGTTATATATTTTAAAATCATTTCGAGTTTTTAATAAAAAATTCACAAATTTGCCTGCAGTCCTTTGTTTCATTAATTAAAAGTAACGTTTTGGTTCCCAACAAAGTAAAAGTGCAATAAATCATACACTAATTGTTATCGAACCGAAATTTCACTATTCGTTATGCTCTTAGCATACTAATAGTGATTTTGTCACAATTAACACAAGGAATCTGTTCACGTTTATAATGTACTTTTAATTTACGAGGCAAATCATCGTACCTCTTGCAAATACCAATCATTTCGGCAACTACTTTGATCAGTCATACAGGGTGTCCGGAAACTGTGAGCAGAAGATCTAGGGCAGGGATGCACAGACTTATAGGGAACAGGGGCCACTCGGGAAAAATATAAGCCAA